TAGTAGGAGGAGGAGGAGGAGGCTATGTACATTCTACTGAAAAATAGTTATAGGCACAATGTCTTCAAATCAAACCGGACTTTTATTTTGACGGGTTGCCGTGAATACCTTTACAGTTCTGTGTATGAGAGATGACGCCAGTTTTACTCAAATCAAACGCTAAAATGCTCATGAAGTGACTCTTAGAGCAGTTCTGGAGATGTTGTTCATGTGTTTACGTCCTCATTTAGTGAGACGGCAGATGCTGAAATCACCGCGAGTGTCAGGCGCGCTTCAGTATATGTGTAGTAAATGAAACCGCGCGTCTGCGCCATTCATAAACGGAGACAAAAAATAATCAAATCAGAATTCCACATTATTTTCACTAAATAAACACATTTATTATAATTATAACACAGTAATGAAAAGCAATAATTACTAACATATATTTGTAACATTTTAGAGCATGTACACTAACCATCATTTATGTGTTATCCATCATCTAGCATACCTATTATGTCCACAAATGTCCTGTTCTCTTGTAATTGAGGCTGTATTGCACAGGTTACTGGTCTTAACATCCTACAAACCACATGTCGCCCACCTCTACAATCAGGTGACCGTAAAGCCGGGCCAGAGACTTTACATGGTCAATCAGCAGTATCCTTACAGAGTGAGGTTCACTGAGGACACATCCACACCCAGATCTGCCGCAGAGTTGAGCAAACCTTCAAAAAGAGCCCATCGGATGAGCTCTGAGAGGAACGCAGAGAAGATCAAGAGCCCTGCAAACACAGCATCAGACCATCACAGAATGTCAGACGATTCGCCTCCGCCAAAAAAGATACCGCCATCTGGATCTGATAAATCTGTGAGTTTCATTTGGTCGGGAATTTGCAATAATTTGCAATAAAATTCAAATTCTATGATAGTTTATACTTGTAATTAAGGACTTTTAGGGAGTCCTTGAATATCTTTTTTGAGAGATATTTTTGCCTATTTTTAAATTTAAAACAAAGTTTCTGAGCTGGTTAGAGACATTTTGAAGGTCTATATTAAAGGGGTCATATGATGCAGTAGACTACAATGCCGGCTGTTCTGACTCACAGACTGTAAGTAAGTTTTTTTTATATTTAAAGAATTTGCCACTGACGATTCAAACGCGAGTTCTGAGCAATGTGCTTGTTGTTTGTCATTTCTCCGAACACAAATGCAGACATGGTTTTATGTTTACGCTGCGCGATGCAACGCAACGCGTAAAAAGACAGTATAAGTCATTATAATCCGTAATTATGTCCCCACTGGATGCAACAAATGCCTCGCTTATAATGGGTTTTCATGTTTTTTAATCGTCGCTCAGGCCGGACAGGGCATCATCACAATATGGTGAGGGGCGTAACATTTCCATCACACGCTTGAGGTATTCGGCCAATCACAACGCACTGGATAGCTGGCCAATCAGAGCACACCTCGCTTTTCAGACCGATGAGCTTTGTAAAAATCGACGCGTTTCAGAAAGGCGGGGCATAGAGGAGAAACAATAATGTACAGTATGTGGAAAATAATGTTTTTTGAACCTTAAACCGCATAAACACATTTCATTACACCAAATACACAAAATAATGTTCTTTTTAGCAACATCATATGACCCCTTTAAAGATTTTTTTTTTAAATGCTGACCTCTTTGTAAACCAAAGCACTGCAAACTTTCTTGTTTCCCAGGAATCTGCTGGCCATTGGAGCCAAGGGCTTAAAGTGTCAATGCAGGACCCTAAGATGCAGGTATAAGTTGTTCATTTCTTTTGAATCCTATGAATCAAAAACTGAAACTGACAATAAAGACTTTTACATCATTACAAAAGATTCCTACTCCAAATGCTGTTCTTTTGAACTTTCTATGCATTAAATTATCCTGAAAAAAACCCACGAAAATAGCTGTTTGCAGCATTGATAAGAAATGTTTCTTGAGTAGCAAATCAGCATATTAAACTGATTTCTGAAGGATCATAAGACACTGAAGACTGGAGTAATGATGCTGAAAATTCAGCTTTATATCACAGAAATAAATTACATTTAAAATATATTAACAGCTGCCAGTTTTTATCCTCAGGTGTATAAAGATGACAGGGTTGTGGTCATCAAGGACAAGTACCCAAAGGCGCGGTACCATTGGCTGGTGCTGCCGTGGGACTCGATCTCCAGTCTGAAGGCTCTGCGCTCGGAGCACGTGGAGCTACTCAAACACATGCAGCGTGTGGGAGATCAGATGCTGCAGCAGTGCCCTGACGCTCACAAACTGCGCTTCCGTCTGGGATATCACGCCATCCCCAGCATGAGGTACAGACGTCTGCGTCCTGATTGGCTGCTGATGTGGGGAGGGCGGGGCTTGTCATGAATGCAATGTTTAAGATGTTTATTTCTTTTCAGTCACGTCCACCTGCACGTAATCAGCCAAGACTTTGACTCGCCGTGTTTGAAGAACAAGAAACACTGGAATTCCTTCACTACTGACTATTTTGTGGAGTCTCAAGGTACATTATACACAAAAACAGCCGGTTATTAAAAATTACAGATAAATGTCTTTGTAGTCCTTTAATCAAAATGTAATTACTTTCTCCATCACATGGATGTAAGTCGTTAAAGGAATAGTTGATAAATGAAAATTTGCTGACAATTTACTCGCCCTCAGGCCATCCAAGATCTAGATTAGTTTTCTTCATCAGAACAGATTTGGAGAAATGTAGCATTACATCAGCTGTTCACCAGTGGATCCTCTGCAGTGAATGGGTGCCGTCAGAATGAGTCCAAACAGCTGATAAAAACGTCACAATAATCCACACCACTCCAGCCCATCTGTTAACATCTTCTGAAGTGAGAAGCTGCATGTTTGTAAGAATGAGCATCTATTAAGATGTTTTTCATTTCAGACTGTTGCTTCTGGCTAAAATACAAATCCTCTATCCATAATATAGCTTTCTCCAGTGAAATAGTCATTTCGTCTGAATCATATGAGGGAAATCTGCACAGATCAAGCACAAGCAAAAACAGTCCAAACCCGCTCTAAACAAATATGTGGGTGGATTTCGATGTGAGAGGGGATGGACTTTTTCACTAGACTGGAGGAAGCATTATTATGGATATTGGACTCGTATTTTGACCCGAAACAATGGTGCAAAGTTGAAATGTCTTAATAATAGATTTATTTCAAACACACAGCTTTTCACTTCACAAGATGATAATGGATAGACTGGAGTGGTGTGGATTATTGTGATGTTTTTATCAGCTGTCTATACTCTCATTCTGACGGCACCCATTCACTGCAGTGCAAGGGATGTAATGCTGAATTTCTCCAAATCCGTTCCTATGAAGAACAAATTCATCTACATCTTTAATGGCCTGAGAGTGAGTATATTTTCTGCAAGTGTTCCTTTTTGAGTGATCCATTCCTTTAATAAATTATTTAAAAAATGGAAAAAAGCTCTAAAAGCTGTTTAGAGAAACAAGCATTCCCCTGTATAATAAAGCAAAGCATTCATGTGTATCTTTCCACAGATGTCATTGCAATGCTGGAGCATGATGGGAAAGTGACAGTGAAAGAAGGCACTAGTGAATCACTGAAGCTGCCTCTGCGCTGTCACTTGTGCCGTAAAGAGCAGCCCACGATCCCCAAACTAAAAGAACATCTCAAAACTCACCTGCCTTCTTAAATCTGTATTTAATCTGTTAAGTCTCTCAAATTACAATTCATTTGGTAAACCGCCCATTGAATCCTTTAGTAAATTCAACTTGTTCTGGATATCTCGTTATTGCGATTTCATTCATTCAGCCTTCACTCACTTTCATTATGAACATTGATACAATAATGAGTCAATAACATTTTGCACGTCTCTTTGGTTTTATTGAGTGTTTAAAGGTGGTAGTTAAAAGTAAATTTTCCTTTCACTCACTCACACACACACACACATAACTTTCACACAAATGCACTTGATTGAAGCTAAAGTGTAATTTCTGCACTAAATGAAATTGCACAAATAAGGTTTTGTTGATTGCTGGGACAAACAGGCCATCAGAGTCTTGTTTTCCTCGGAACAAACCGATTGCAATTTAGTTTAGTGTATAAATTACACACTTCAGCTTATTGGCACGAGGGAAATGACAATCATTATTATGCTGTTCATTTAGAATCTGAGAACAAAATATATTTGCTTGTAACATACTGCTGCACAAAACAAAATCATCAGAGAAAATATAAGCAGGAACTACTCTAGAATAATAAAATCACACTCAAGGAATAATTCAACTGATCTGAAACTGAGGAGAGGGGATGCAAGAATATTGCTTACATAGAAAACCAATGACAGTTTGAGTCTCTGCAGACAGGAGTGTATTTCACATCCGTTACAAAAGAAAATCATAAACAAGACAAAATACAAAAGCACCTTAAAAAATAAAGTTGACAGTGTATTTTTAACCAAAATATCTAAAATACTAAGGCAACTATTGCTAGTCCATAACTTCTGTATAAAATTGACTACCCTAATAAAACAAATAAAAATGCTGTTGGAAAAACAACAACTGATATTTATGCTCCTACCTTTTTATTTTAAATAACTTGCAAATATTCAACCTCTGAAGACTTTTTTTTGGATAATTTTTTTAGGAGCAGATATATTAGCAATGCAGACATCTACATCCAGTTTGTGTTGTGTGTTTTTTTTGTTTTTTTTTGTGCTTGTACCCAGCTCACTGTTCTAGAGCTTTTCTAATGTCAAATGCCCTGTAGTCATGATGACAGATGTCTGTCACATTGAATTCCCTGAAGAGAAGCTTTTGTGCATCTCAATAGCTCTTTTTTGGAGTGTCGGTTGACGTAATACTGCGCTTGTCTTCATCAAGTCAGTGTACCTCCAGTCTGAAATATAATAAACGACATGAGTAAATAAATGTATATTTAATTCTGTGCTTGTTTTGCTGGAATTTCCAACTTCCAAAAGTCTAATAGAGATAGCTGACCCAAAAATTACAATTTTGACAGTAGCCATTGACTTCCATAGTGTTTTTTTTCTTCTTCCATACTATGGAAGTCAATGGCTACCGTCAACATTCTTCAAAATATCTTCTTTCGTGTTGAACAGAAGAAAGAAACTCATACAGGTTTGGAACAACATGAGGGTGAGTAAATTATGACAATTTTCACTTTTGGGTAAAATACCTCTTTAAGATGGGCTTACAACGTGTGCAAAATCAAACTTGATTGGAACGCAGCATTAAAAAGGTGTTTCTTATAAGAAATCTTATAAAAATAAAAATAAAAAAATAATAATAATAATTGTCCTTTTAAACTCACCATGGATTTCATTTCCCGACTCTCTGCTTCTACTTTGCCGTAACGCTCCGTGGCTTTCCTGGTGTTTTCTACAAACTCCTACATGATTGATCACAGAGAGACACCAACAACATATTTAATGTGACACACAACAACACATGACTCATAGAAATGACTTTTTCCATTGAGCTTGAGGTCAGCGGAAATGAATGGGAAACTGTCTCACCATAAGAGCCTTGTCCATGTAGTACTCTCTGCCCGGGCTGCCGTCGTTGTACTTGGTGTCGATGGCGAAGCAGAGGAAGAGAACGTCTACTACGATCTCAAAGATTGAGAGGAAGCAGTGAGCCACCAGGAAGGAGAAGACGCACACGATGATGAGCGGCAGCACCCAGACGGTGTATTCACGCTGATAGTTCAGCGACAGGATGCCCGCAAACGCCGTACACGACACGATCAACACCTGCAGACACAAGAAACACCTGTTAGCCGTCTGGAATCACAGTTTTAGTCCATTTTAGCATCATTAATACATCATTATACCATTTCTAAAATAGTGAATTAGATTTTAATTTTCTATTTTGTTTTCAGTTTAATTTTAGTAATGTTTGTTTTGTGTTTGTCATTTTATTAGGTTTATATAT